AAGCCCCCTCTTTACCCTTTACTGCACCCCACACCACCCCATTCCTCCTTCTCAGAGAGGACCACTGTGCTGAATTTTATATAATAATTMTTTTGCCTTCTTTTCTATAGGCTTATTTCCTATGCTTGTATGTGTTCCCATATTGTTTAGTTTTCCATGCTTCGGGGAACTGTATAACTGGTATGGCATGGTACGTATTCTTTTGCAACTTGCTTTTTTTTCTGTCAACATGGTTAATGAGAATCTTCCCTTGCCGCAGTCAGGCTGCAGCAAAATAACCGGGGGGTGACGAGGAACTTGTGTACATTGATACAGCAGGAGTGGGAGCCGTTTATTGTAGGACAGGAGGGGTATATATACATTCCACACAGCTTATCTTAATTAACATAAACTAGATACAGCAGTCAACCAATAAGGAATCTCCACACTTAATGGCTCCCTGGCCTTACTTCACAAACCACTCCCTCTGCAAAATGCCAGGTGCCATCTTGACTTGTTTACAGACTCTAACATTCCCTCTTGTTGTGAAGGCTGTAGTTTCATTTGTTTGGCTGATTATTTGCACTTCCTTGTATATCACAACTGTTTTTTCCATTCGACTGTTGGTGGATATTTGGGTTGTCTTTCCTATTGTTCTGAACATCATTCCCCCCACCCCCACACAGGGCCTCCTGCATTTTGGCAACTTCTATACCACTGAGCTACACTCTCAGCCCCATCACTTGGTCCTTGGTGTTGTGATTTTCCTATTTGTCGTTTTTTTTTTCCCTTTTTATTTTTGTAGTTGTAGATAGACTACATGCTTTTATTTTATTTGTTTATTTTTATGTGGTGCTAAGGATCGAACACATGCTAAGCAAGCGCTCTACCACTGAGCCCCAGCCCCAGCCCCCTATTTRTCACTTCTCCTGTGAGTACTCATATTTTTTTTCTTCAGGTAGGCCTGTTATGACATACCTACATAACAATTCATAAGCAATGTGCAATTACATAYTATATCACAAAATATAGCATTTGTCATTATTATAGAAAAACATGACAGACTGTTCAAGCACYCAAGAAAATTACCTCATGTAATTAAAGTTCTCTGAATAATTCTTATTTTCCTAATTCAGTGCAGAACAGAATCTGACAATGCTTTAGAACACAGCTTGTCAAACATTTTCTGTACAGGGTGACAGAGCAAATATTTTTAGGCTGTATTGGCCATACATCCTCTGTTACAAATACTCAGCTCTACTGCTGAAATGCAAAGCAGTGGCTGACAATATGTAAATGAAGGAACACGGCTGGGTTCCAATAAAACTTTATTTTTTACAGTACTAGGATTGAACCCAGGGCTTTGAGCATATTAGGCAAGTGTTCTACCACAGAGATACATCTTCAACCCTCTAATAAAACTTTAAGGACACAATTCAGTGTATTTCATATAATTTTATGTCACAAATAGTACTTTTTTTTGTGTGTGTGAGACCCAGCAAAGTGATCTACCACTAAGCTACAACTCCAGCCCTATCCTTTTGATTTTTTCCTCCAATAATTTGTAAGTGATTTTTCATRATTGTGGCCCACGCAAAACAGGCAGAGGGTTGACCTTGGCTGGGGAGCTACAATGTGCCAACTTCTGATTTAGAATACAATTGTTCTGACATTTCTCCGTAAGGAAACTGAATAGAACTATCCTCTCCATTTTGCACAGTAGAGTATTAGAACCCAGAGACATTAGATTGCATTTAGTTTAACTCCTCCCTTCTCCTTGGCTCCATTTGATAGATGAGGAAGCTTCAGGACAGAGGAGAAACGTCTGGCTTCCAGCCACCCAGCTAGGGACGACATCATGTCAGGTTGRAGCTCAAGGCTCTCAATTAAAGCCCTACCTATCTTCCTCTACTCAATTCCAAATCGAATTTTAAAACTGCCTCCACAGCCACAAAAATCTGCTGCCACATTTCAGCAGTGATTAATCTCTTTTCACCTTAAAGGTACTTATTTTAATAACACCTTACAATTAAGAACTCAATAAGCTTGARTCTTGATATGTAATTTGTATCATTAAAACCTATATGATTGCAATTAACAGTTGGAAATTACATCATAAATTAGAGAGACATTTTAATTAGTGAAGTGACATCATATTTGTGGGGAAGTTACACATGGAATGAAAATTGGTTAAAATAACATTAAGGCATCYGAGTTCCAAAGAGCCTATGGAAGGTTCCAAAGTAAACTTTATTCCAGAATCCTAAGGACAAAGGGAGTGGCCTTTCAGTTCTAACCAGAAGGGGATTTTTTTGTTCCTGTGGATTAAGCTGAGGCCAATGGGGTGTCCAGGATGGGGTGAATCAGAAGTCAGCACTCACTGTAGTGAACCCACCTGTTCACAGTGRCATGCTGCACTAGTCTGGCATCTAAGTTCCATGAAGCTATCTGTGTTTTTCTTGTCACTACTTTGCCTTGTAGATCAGAGCCTGGAACATACTGGTGCTCAGTTAATGATGGTTGAATGATCAAAATCAGTCCATCAGGGGTATGTCTTATATAAGCTGACCTCTGAATTTTTTAGGTACCTATTCTAGCAGCTTTTGAGCCCATTCTTTGAAAAAAAAAWTWARGKTTTTTTTTTTCTCCCTCCACCAGGACTCCTGCCAGAGGGAGGTCACCTTCACCCTCTGGATGATTGTCTTCTCATCAGTCCACCCTTGGCCTGTCACTTGGCTTTGGAGTCACTGTACATTCTGGGTGTAATGAGCACCTTGAACATTCTGCCTTCTAAACTATTGAAAAATTGAAAATTCAAAGAGGGCAAACAATGTTTATAAAAATTTCAGGAGTGTTTAAAATGGAGACATTTTAAAAAGTTTCTAAGGAATAAGAAATTCCGAGAATAATTTATTACCTACACATACAACTTTCTTTGGAAGTTCCCCATTCTCATCAAACATTAATCAAGCCATCCCACTATCTTTTATTTTCTCCATTTTACAGATAGTGATTCAGAGGAAGTTAAATGACTAGTTGCCAGGGTCACTTGGACAATATAAATCTAAATAATTTACTATTTCAGCCTTCTTTGCTGCCGTTTGTTAGACTGAAATTGAGGGAGGTTTGATGAGGATTTCCACCTGCTTCCTTGGTGACCATATATTTGCTGCTCTTTGCTTCCCCCTATYGATAGGAGAAGGGAAGAGCAGATGGCAAGACTAATTGCTCAAATCAAATTTTAAAAAACTGCCTGAGGACCAGCAGTATCACAATCACCTGGGAACTTGTAAGACATCCAAATTATGGGACCCATCCCACAACACTGAACTAGAAACCCTTGGGGTGGACTCAGCCATCTCTGTTTCAACATAGCTCCAGGTGATTCTGCTGTAAATTGAAATTACTTTTCTGCTTAAGGTACTAATGTCTTGGCCTTTAATCACAAAAATGATAAAGCCTCTCTGCACTGCTTCTGTCCCTAGGCCTCACACAGAGTATATACAACTGGGCCATACACAAAGTACTTTTATTCCTGAAGATGGATTTTCAGCAGCTCTGAAGTCAGGAAGAAACTTCATACTCACTTTACGGATGAGGAGACTGAGAAAGGGAAGGCTCACATTTGGATTTACTCAGCTTTGAGTGGTAGGGCTGGGTTCAGATTCAAATTGTCTTTTTTATATCTACACCCAGCACTACTTCAGTTACTATATAGCATATTTTCTTTTCTTTTTTTTAATATTTTTATTTTTTTTTTTTAGTTCTCGGCGGACACAACATCTTTGTTTGTATGTGGTGCTGAGGATCGAACCCGGGCTGCACGCATGCCAGGCGAGCGCGCTACCGCCTGAGCCACATCCCCAGCCCTATATAGCATATTTTCTGACATTTGGTGCCAGATAATTCTTCACTGGGGGGGACTGCCCTATGGATGGATATTTAAAAGCATCTCTGGCCTCTACCCACTAGATGCCAGTAGCACCCCGCCCCAGTTGTAAGAACTACAAATATCTCTAAATATTGCCAATGTCCCCTGGCAAGGGAAAAAATCATCCCTGGTTGACAGCCATTGCCCTACAGTCATCACACAAATGAGTAGAACTCACACAATTCCTGCTGAACAATTTTTGCATACTTTGGAAGTGATTTCCGAAAAAAAAGTTCAGGAATCCAAGGGAACGAGGCTAAATGTTGGTCTCCATAATACCTTTACTACCTTTTAAGAAAATTAACATTAATTCTGTAATACCATATAGCATCCAGGGAGCATTCAAATCTCTCTAGTTATCCCCCAAATCTTTCGGAGCTGCTTCCCCCACCCACCAAGCCAGGATCCAATCTAGAGTCTCAGATTGCATTTGGCTGCTGTCTATTTAGGCTCTGTTAGTGCAGAACAGGTAAACTATGTCCATGGACTGAAGCTGGTGTACCACCTGTTTTCATAAATAGGTTTTTGCTGGAACTCAGTCATGCACTTTCATTTATGCAATATCTCTGGCTGTTTTCATAATACAATGGTAAAGTTGAATAACTGTGACAGAGACTGTATAGACCACAAAGCCTAAAATATTTGCTAGCTGGACCTTTACAGGAAAAGTTTGCCAAACTGTGACATAGCATTCTATTTTCTGTCTTTATTTTTAATATGTTACTGACTATTCAGAGTCCAAAAAAATTRCTTATAGAAAGTCTCTTTTTAATTATTATTATTATTAATTKTGGCAGTGCTGGGTATCTGACCCAGGGCCTCATGCATGCTTTGCAAGTATTCTATCATTGAGCTATACCCCAGCCCTGATCTCTTATTTTAGATTGGTTGTTTAAATCCATGTATATATTAAAACTTTAAATTGAGGGCTGGGGTTGTGACTCAGTGGTAGAGTGAGAAACTGGCTTCGATTCTCAGCACCACATATAAATGAATAAATAAAATAAAGGTCCAATAACAACTAAAATATTTTTTAAAAACCTTTTAATTGAAATTTAATATATATACATATATATTAGAAAGTATGAGATTCAGTTAGTAATGCTTTGGGGGTGATGATAGAGAGCTTTTTAGCTGTCAAAAACTATAAATGAAATTGAAAGGCAATTACAATACCAAGGCCTTGTCTCTTCCCACAATTTATTTTTCAAGAAAGATAAAATTAATGTTATGTCTAACATATGACAGATAATTTCAGATATAAATGGAGATTAAATCCTCATTGATCAAGTTTCCATATCATTTAAACAGAGAAACTGGTAGGAAAACTAGAAGTCTCCTTTGAAAATCATAACATGATTCCAAATATGTGCACAGAAATGTACATACATGTGCATATGTGTATATATATATATAAAATTTCTCTAGGTACAGGGTCATGTGCCTAGCACCATATCTGGTATATAGAAAGCACTAAATGTATGTCTGTGGGATAAATGAATGAATAATATTCCTTCCTTCAGCTGGGCAGGCAGGTTGTCATCAAAATACAATACTCACACCTATTTATTAGATTATTATTATTTTTCTGAGTATGACAAGCATGTACATCATATGAAAGTCTTGGACCTTATTTTTCTGTCAGGATCTCATGCATATTCAACAAAATAGAATTCAATTAGCTTGGAACATAATCTTCAGACTAGGAATACTTTGGTTTTATGCACATAGCTAAATGGAGAAAGTACCCAGCCTCCCCTTCTAGTTAACCTGGGTCAGATTTTAATGAACAGTCTACTCTACAAATAACCTAAGACATTCTATGTAAATCCTAGCAAATAATGAAAGGAAGCCCTGCTAAATTTTTTTTACCACTTCTCTAAAGTGTCATTAAGATATAAAAAACCCCACCCCCCAATCATGATATATATATTTTACAATAATCTTTAGGAAAAAAGAGTTAATAGTCATTCACTCCCATGCAGCTTACATAGATGGCACTGAGGTGGGCTCTCAGTCAGAAATTAGGCTGAAGATCTAAAGGGTTCCTGGTTGGTTCTTGAGAAGTGGATCTTTTTCCTGGTTTCCCCAGAAAAAGCCCGCCTTCGTGTGGTGGAGGAAACCATGCAGGCTTCTGCCTTTGACCACGTTCCCAAGATGATTTTCTATTGGCTTGTATTCCTTACGTTTTCTGAAAATGATGTGTTGGACAGTGGTTAAATAAAGCTTGTCAGCTAAAATACATTACTTTCTACAATCTTTTTCTCGTCAGGTACAAAAAGTCTAATTCCATTTAATCTAATGTATGACTTGTAACACGATTGGCATTTTATGAAAATAGTTATTTTCTCTTCATGCGAGAAATGTGCCTGCTTACTATGACTTGAAATTACATGTTAAACATTACATAGATGTAACATTATGGACATCTGGTAGCACTTGTAGGTTTTTAAAATAAACCACAGCAAAATTAACAGGCCAATTTGGTATTCAGGATTCCGTGGAAGATTTTTTTTCTCATACACAAATGTTTGAAAGGAAAAAGAAAAGGAAATGGCACATTTCTTCTGACAATATAACGTAGAGATTTAAAGTGTTAGAACCCAAAACTTACTTGTACACCAAGATGGCGACCACAGCAACAAATAGGGTCAGGCAGCCCACAGAGATCAGGACACCACCCGCTGTTCCTAAAGGGGAGGCTGGGTCTTAAATAGAAGCAGGACCATATTAGTTACATCTTTCACTTAGAGGACATGCTACTTGTAATGCCATTAAATAAATGAGGAAGGGAGCTATCACGGAAGATGTATGGCTCCCTCTAGGCTCTTGGTAATCTTTTCCATTAAATAATACATAGTCTTTGGGTCAGCTTATCTTCCATTTAGAGAATGAGTTATTGTGTCTGGAACACTGTGTTAAGGGCTCAGAGAAAGCAATGTCATGGCCTGGGGACACCTGCTCAAGTCTCTGCTGAGCTGCACCCAGGTGGTGAAGGGCTCCAGGGATCCACAGTTCCTGCCTCTGACCTCATTTCCCACTATCTACCTTCAGGCTGTGTTCAAAATCTGGGAGTTGACCTTACTCCTGACACCCTTTACAACCTCTCATGTCAGGACATGGCTCATCTCAAGTTCCCTCTTACATGCTGCCTCCCAGGTGATTCTGAGGCTACCCTGCTTGCCTCTCTTCCTGAGGACTCTATTGCCGTTAATTCTTTACATATATTTCTCTCCTAACGTGACAACCAGGCCATGCTTCTAAACTGCCTGTGGCTGCCCCAGCACACAGAATACAACCAGACCCTGACACGAACCCTGAGGATCTACATGGGCCTCTCCTTGTGATTGGGTCCCTCTCATAGGAGGCCCTTCACTGAGAAGGTGCCCCTGAGTGGGTAGGACGTCTTCTCACCTCCTGATCTCCTCGCTCTCCATTCCCGGGCTTGGCTTCCTTTTCCTCACAATACTCTCTTGCTTATTTGTTTGACTGTCTTAAATAAGGAAAAGGCTCATGGCCTGAGGCTGTTCAAGTATTCTTAGTTCCCACTTAACAAAGGGAAGCTTAGAGGGTAAGCCACAGCACGGAAACCTAATTTAGGAGAATGTAATCAACTGCCCAGTTGCAGCCAATCACAGGCAGCTCTAAAGAACTGCTGGAGCCATTTAGGTGATTTCTCTGCTTAGTGTCCTGGTTGGCCTCTAAAAAAGCTCACTGCTGGGCCTGGGCTATGACTTAGTGCTAGTGTTCTTGCCTAGCTTGCATGAGGCGGTGGGTTCAATCTCCAGCACTGCAAAAAAGCTCACTGTTGACTGGGATGCCACCRTGCCTGCTTGTGATTCCAGCAAATCAGGAGATTGGGGCAGGAGGACCAGTCTCAACAGCTTTGTGAGACCTCAAAAATAAAAAAAGTAAAAAGGGCTGGGGATGTGGCTTATGTTTTGGGGTTCAATCTCCAATGCTTAATAATAATAAACCCCAGTGCCAAAAACCCCAAACCCTCAGTGGTGGTGGTGGGGATTCTCTCAAACTTTTCTGGCTCTGAGTGTTGCTTAATTCAGTGTTTAAATAAATGATTAAATGTCATGTTTTAAAAAAATTTTTTTGTAACGTTTGTCACAGCTAAGAAAATCAGGGACTTTTGTTTTGTCTTGATCCTGTATCTAGAGTTTTATCTTGTGCACAGAACTGTACTGGGTCTGAAGTAGATGCTTAATGATTATTTGTTGAAATATGCTCCATGAATGTTCATTGGATCAAATAGTGTGGGCCCAAAGTCCATGAATTTGCTTTTGAGCCATGATTTATTTCTGATAATCTGACTTTGAAACTCTAATTATCAAGCTGTAATATCTAATGGATTAAAAATTTCCTCCCGAGCTTCCTTTATTCATTTTCTTTCGGTGCTGGGGATGGAGCCCAGGGCCTCACACATGCTGGGCATCCCCTGTCCCCTTTACTCTGTTTTTGAAAATGGCTTAAGTCACACCCGGCATGATCTCTCGCTATAGGAATAATTAAAGGAAAATTAATATCTAAACATGTAATCCACACAAGACATCAGCAGTCTGCCAGCACCGAGGAAGGTTAGTAAATTGAGTTATGATTCTAGAGGTAGTTCCAAGGAGCTGTGGTAGCTCTAGAGGGAAAGCCTCAGCAGTTCCCAGAGGTGACTGCATTGAAAGTCCACAGTCACTCAGATGCAGAAGTTCTGGCTGCTTCGTTGCCCTCCCCAGCTCTTTACGCAGGCTCCAACCCATCCTACCCTGCAGGAAGCAGGACACCCTTGTATCTTTGTTTTTGTTCTTAAATCTGCACCTTGAATCTCACTAACAATAACTCATACTAACTACCAAGAACTGWCTGCATAACAACATTTTGGTCAAYGATGGACCACATATACAATGGTGGTCCYATGATACACCAATCGAAACGAAAATTTATGTCACCTAGTGATGTTGTAGCCATCATAATGTCATACTGCAAAGCAGTACCCAYAATCTGTGGTGATGCTGGTGCAAACGAAGCTGCTGCCCAGCCAGTTGTATAAAAGTTAGCACACATGATTATGTATAGCACATAATATTTGATAATGATAATGATAATGATAAAAATTATGTTACTGATATATGTAATCCTATACTTTACTATGCTTTCTGTTGTTATTTTAGAGTGTGTGCCTTCTACTTATAAAAAGAAAAAAGTTTACCAAGAATCAATGTTTCATATTATGCTGGCAGCACCTCATCTATCTGGTTAATAATAATAATAATAATAAAATATATATTAGTTGTAGATTCTTATTTTTTTATTTTTTAGTTGTAGCTGAATACAATACCTTTATTTTTATTTATTTTTATGTGGTGCTGAGAATAGAACCCAGTGCCTCACACATGCCAGGCAAGCGCTTTACCACTGAACCACAACCCAGGCCCTCATCTATCTGTTTTAACTACATAGCTTGATGGTATCAAGAGGCCAGTGGAGTGATTGACCTCTGCCATCTAGGTTTGTCAAAATGCATGGCAGGATGTTCCCACAATGACAAAATTGCCCAATGGTGAGTTTCTCAGTACGTGTCCCTTTTATCAAAAGACACGTGGTTGTATGTGTATGATTTCTTAAACTTTTCTTCCAGTGAGGTTAAAGCTGCCCTTTGTATGATTAATGAATAAAGATATAAGTACATTTTAGTTTATCCAAAGGAGTTGCAAGTCATTAGATTGTACTGACAATACTCAAATTAAGGAGTAAAATTAGCACACTGTGTATACATTACTCTTTCCTGTCCCTTCCACCAAAGAGCACTTCTCCTAAGACATAAAGAAGTCAGGGGGCTGGGGATGTGGYTCAAGCGGTAGCGTGCTTGCCTGGCATGCACCGGGYGCTGGGTTCGATCCTCAGTCAGACCACAAAGTCAGCTCCAACTGAGATTCAGTTAGGGCCACTAGGTAGAGCATTAATTTGGGGACTGGGGGAAATAGGGTACCACCAGTAAATGCAAATTTCTAATGAAACTCTTTTTCTTTTTAAATATTTTTTAGTTGTCAATGGACCTTTATTTTATTTTTTTATATGYGATGCTAAGAATGGAACCCAGTGTCTCACACATACTAGGCAAGAGCTCTGAGCTACCACTCCTGCCCCATCTAATGTAATTCTTTAGTCTATTTTGTTGAGATTTTACCTCTTCAAGATTGAGGAGGGCCAAGAGTAGTTTTTCTGGCAAACATGTCAAGGGCAGGCAAGTTGGTGTGTTACTGTCAGTATAATGTTTGGTAGATTGGGGGAACGGAAAGAAAGGACACATGCCAAGTGAGAAGGGAGTTGAGGGTCCACTGGGTTTCTCGTTCTCTTAGTTTCATATCTACCCAGTTGACCCTCATAGAAATGTGACTTCAGCCTCTCCTTTCTTATCATTCCACTGGAGAGCATTGTTACTTTTTGATCCTGGCCTTTACATTTTCCTCTTGAAATACAAATCTATTCAAGCATGCAGTGATCATATTCCATTATTACTCATCCATGGTTAACAGCTGATTTTTTTTTTTCATCAAAAGGCTTTTCTTTGGCCACTATTTCATAGAGTCTCTCTTTCTCTCATCACTTTCCTAAGTAGATTTGTGGTTCTMTTTTAATGCCAGTTCTCAAATCCTTATTAACCAGAGCTCAATAAATTTTGCACTGAAATAAAATTAAACATTGTCAGCAAAGCCCTCAATGGCTTTACTACTGGACACTTGACTTACAACGTGAAATGCTCATAGAAACCTTACACACACCTCACCTTTGCCAGGGATGGAGATTAAGGTGCTTGTGAGGGCCAGACTTGTGTCATCACCCAGRGTGAAGTTTACGCAGTATGTCCCGGACCCACTGAAGGCTCTTCTCACAGTCAACAGRCAGGTTTCCTCCGCATCCACAGGGCTACAGATTATGTTCTGGGCAACTTGGCAGGTGGGGTCAGAAATGACAGTACAGACCTCGGTGGGGATGCTGTGACGTGGGAGGGGTGGGGGAGAACACACAGATCACAGAGGGTGGAGAGAGGAATGTAATGTCAGTTTTTCATAGAGAATTAAAAAAAGCATTATGTTTCTGTAAAATTGAACCCCATCTTGTTCTTACCCAAATCATCTGATGTTGAATTGTCACGCCTGGTTTACTCTTGAATAAACCTGGGGAATTTGCTACTATTTCCTCTGCATTCTCAGGAAAGTGAGGTTCAGAGGACAGAGGAGGAAGAGATGACGTCTCCCAAGGCAAGGGACTATGGAAAATATGTGAAGCCCTCTTCATCCCCTCTGTATTCTGGCTCCCTGGAAAGTCTAAAGGTGCCCATGGCTTAGGTGTTAGGCAAAGATATTATTAGATGTTGGAGTGGGCCCTGTCTTGGTCCAGTAACACACCATGCAGGATTTGCTATGTGCAAGGAGCTGGGTTTAGATACATGATATGATCTTGCTTGTCCCTCTGGGCTCAAGAAGAAAGTAATATTATCCCAGTGTAACAGGTGACAAACCAGCTTAGGGAGGGGAAATAACTWGTCCAAGGTCATACAAACAGTTCATTCTACTCATCTCCCCAAGCCAGAGACCTTCTTAGTTATATTCCTTCCTACCAAATGAGGTCACATCTTTATACTATTCCATTCTCTTGATTACTTTCTATATTTAGACACATCCATATTTTTATTAGCTAAATTATATACATGTTAAATTAGTTGATTTGTCAAGATATATTTAATTAATTGATATATTTTGTACYAATTTATATGTATTTTATTGTATATAGTCATGATCAAATCATAGGAAATCAAATTATGTTAGAAAAAGCTTTGTAAGTTGTRTAGAGAGGATTATCACATGACAGTTTCACATTGGCTTCCACCCACTAGGAATGGCCCCAGGGAGCTGAAGACCAACCAGCTCTGAGCCAGACCTCTGGCTGCTAGGCCAGCTCTGCTGGTGCCACTGTGGATCTGTGAGTGAGCTCTGTGATCACTGTGTGCCTCACGCGCCTCTGGTCAGATGGAGAGACTTGTGATTGTTGTGAGGATTTAATATGAGAAGAAGATGTAGAACATGTTAAATATTAGTTGATATAATTATATAACTGAGAACATGTTAAATATTAGTTGCTATAATTATTATTCAACTATCAACAGTTAAAAATAGTGAGCATTTCTCTACTCTTAACAAACTAAGTATGTGCTCGAGAGCACTTTCTGTGGCATTTCATAAGTCCTTCCTCATTTGGGTTTCTAAAAAATAGGAATTTATTTATTTATTTACTTACTTACTTTTTCAGTACTGAGTATTGAATCCAGGGGTGTTCCCCAATTATCTATCTATCTATCTTTGTATTTTTTAAAAAATAATTTGAGACAGGGTCTTGCTAAATTGCCCAGCCTGGCCTTGAACTTGTGATCCTTCTGCCTCAGCCTCCTGAGTTGCTGAGATTACAGGTRTGTGACACTGTGCCCAGCAATAAATGGTTGTTTAAATTAGAGAGAATGATTGGCAGTCCAGGCCTCTGTTCAGACCCAGGGTCTTTGTTCTGACCTATCCCTCCAATAGAGACATATACTTACGTTCCTTTGCAGGTCACAACAAAGTCCATCAGGGGGTTGTCAGGTTTTGGTCTGGGCATCGGGGCATCTGCTATTTGGATGATGTTAACCTCTAGGATTCCCTCTAGCAAAAGAACCACCATACAAAAACACATCAAAATACAACAAAAAGAAAACAACCGCTCTGCTGTAGACTGTTTGTGTCCCCTCAACTTCTTATGTTGAAATCCTAGCCAAGGGAGGTCTTAGGAAGCAATGTACTAAGATGTACTAAGGCCTTAGGTAGGTGATAGGATTAGTACCCTTATAGAGAGACTCCAAAGAGTTCCCTTGCCCCTTCTTCCATGTGAGGACCCAACAAAAAGATGGCCATCCATGAAGTGGGCCTTCACCAGACACCAAATCTGCCAGTGCTTTGTGATCTTGGACTTCCAGCCTCCAGAACTGTGAGAAATATATAAGCCTCGTATGTATGGTACTATAGAGGCCTGAATGGACTAAGACACACTCCTTGGTGAGAAGGAATGAGGAAAGAAAGGAAGAAAGAAAGGAAGAAAGAAAGAAAGAAAGAAAGAAAGGAAGGAAGGAAGGAAGGAAGGAAGGAAGGAAGGAAGGAAGGAAGGAAGGAGGAAGAAAAGAAGGAAGGAAAAAGAAAAGGAAAAAATAGAGACCGTCTTCTTGCCAACAGAAACACACCAGATCATAGTCTTGGATGCATGTCCATGAAGCATTTCCAAAGTTACAATGAACTATTCTTCTGTCCAATCTAGATTCTTATTTCTAGAACCTATTAGAAAGTACAACCTCTCTGGGTAGATGTTTTAGAAAAAGGTGACCCCTGGGCTGATGCAGCCCCACATCAGGTGAGGCCAGCTCCCAGGCAGAGGTGGCTTAGCCCAGGATGCACAGGCTGGGCTTTGGTCCCTCCTGTCTACTTTGCTGGATGCCTTGGAAGTAGTGTCCAAAGTGCACAGTCGTGGGTGGCTGGTCATTTCCCCTTTTCACTTAAGAAGGATGRCATTGTGAAAAGCAGCCAGAAGAAGAGAGTAAAAGTTGTGGCAACTCTATCTTGGCCCCGCTTCACCCCTATTCATTCAGATTACTGGGATGCACACATGGAGTTTAGGTCCAGAGAAGCTCCTTAGCATATGGGCCACACAGGGCTCACTTCCATAGGATGTCTAAGGAAGGCCCAGGTGGGCAGGAGGGAATCTGGAAACTAGGAGAGCATTTGTTCATGCACCTGTGGCATCACCTTGGACCCAGTGGGATGTCCCTGCTCCCCACCTCTACCCTTCTAGAGAAAGTAAAGTGATAGGTGAGCTTGGTAGACTCTGGCATCCTTCCCCACTGGCCTTCAGCCTTACCTACAATGGTGAGGGTRGCTCTAAAGTGGCCGTATCTGTTAATCTGGCAGTTTCCATTGGGAGTCTCGCTCATCTCCAGGGAGTTGTCACCAGCAGGCACTGGAGTGTTTGAATAATAAGATTTAAAACACTTGCTAGGAATGTAACAGATGTACGTGACAGAAATGAAGATTATTTTTTAATATACATACTTTTATTTGTTCTAATTAGTTATACATGATAGTAGAATGCATTTTGACACATCATGTATAAGTGGAGTATAACTTCTCATTTGTCTGGTTGTACAAGATGTAGAGTTACACAGGTCCTGCAATCATATATGCACATGGGGTAATAATGTCTGATTTATTCTACTATCATTCCTACCCCTATTCTCCCTCCCCTCCCTTCACTCTACCCCTATTCTCCCCCCTCCCTTGTGTATTCTCCCCAACCCCTTATTGTGAATTAGCATCTGTGTACCAGGGAAAACATTCAGCCTTTGGATATAACTGAAAATTTAAACATTTATCTATCTGCTATGTTGAAAAAAAAATTAAGAATTGCATACTTAAATTGATGCAGAAATTTGAACTAAATGTATAAAG